TTGGTTGTTGACAATTGGTTGGTGGCAATTGTTGGGTTGCAATTGGTGGGTGGCAGTTGGTTGGTGACAGTCGGTTGGTGACAATTGGGGGTGACAATTGGTGGGTGACAATTGGTTGGTGACAATTGGTTGGTAGCAATCAGAGCGAGGAGGAGGAGGGAGGCGGAGGAGGAGCGGATACCACACTATAAAAACAAAAAACCCACACGTCAATGTGGGGAACAAGTGCATTTGCCTTTGCCAACTCCATCCGCAAGGCTGCCTCTTCCGCTGCAGCCTGAAAGTGAGCTTTGGTAAGCTTTGGCAGAGACGCAAACACTCAAGTATTTGCGCAAAGTGGCCCTCTTTGACGGCTGAACACATTTGATATTGGATGCACCAAATTATAGGTTAACTTCAATCCCAGAGACTGGTGCTTCAAAATACAGCATTTGTCATAATTATCTTGTTTGCCACACTCATTGATTGTAAAAAACGCTTCGGCTAGCAAACAACATGCGTTTCACCCCATCTGTCCTGTCTCTGCTCCTGCAAACAACATCTTGTGGAGAAACAGCAACTTCTATCGCTCTCTTGTTTACAGCGATCCACTTTGCACCGCCTTAGGCGCAAACACACTTCGATGGTTGAGTATGTCGCCCATACTAGACAATACCTACGCAAACTAGCAAAGGAACATATAACTCAAACATGTCCATCGTGCCCACCGAAAACCGACTTGCGACTTGCAAACCGAATTGTTCATGCTCAATATAGATTCTACTTATCAAAACTACTTATTCAAATGCTCATTCACTCGCCATTGTCTTTTCGTCCTCTTCGAACAGTTGTTGTTGGGCGATTGCCTCGTGTTGTAGAGCAAGCAGCTCCTGCAAATGAGGACATAAGACCTTTCAACTACGTGGACCATGGGAAACCAGGTGGGACATTGTGGGACTGATGGTTGAACATGATTCAGGTGAACTAGCCTGTGAAGGTTGGCATATCTGATAGCGATTGTCATCATCATCATCGTCATCATCAGTAATAGTCCCTCTCTCTCTCTCTCTCTTTTTCTCTGAAGTCTTAACAGCGTCTCAATGTCATCTTGCAGTGTGCAGTCCTTCTGTGTCTCTTCAAATCGGCGTCGCCAATGTTCTGCTGGGAGGCCTCCACCGAGTTGATTCGCACAGCAGGGAACTGAACTTCCAAAGCTCGCCCAAATGACAAAATGGTACAAGCATCTCATTTCAGCTTACACAATTCTTCTAGTACCAACTGCAGATCTGTGCTCAGACCCTGGCGAATTGCGGCATACATCTTGCGATGCTCGGCTGCCTGCCCAACTAGACCGCTTTCTTAAAACCTGTCTTCGAAACCACAAACAACGTCAAAGGGCCATGGGCATGAGAAGGACATCAGAACATTTCAATTTCATCTTGGTGCAAGAATCCATGCAACTCCTGCGTTTGACGAACATCATTAATCCATTTGTATTCCGATTTTTTGCGCTCCTCACCTCTCCTGTCCACTCAGCTTCTGCACTCCGACCCTCCTAAATTTTAGGCCAAAAGCTTAAATGAGCAGATTCTGAACTCCGGTTTGCGCAAGACTTGTACCGCGAAGAGACACATGTTTACATAATGTGTTGCGCGACTTGGAGGGCCGCAAAGCCAAGTTGTCGCAGGAAACACACATTGACAAAATTGAGCCGAAAACACATGTGAAACTGTTGGCATAACATGGCAAAGGGCAAGGCGGCCGTAGCAAATGCTGGCAAGCGCTGGTGACGGAGGATGTTCTTCATGAAAATAGAATATTGTTCTCCCTCGTTTATCGCAAAGAAGTTCACGAACAGACTTTGATGGTGCTACCCTTGTTTCAACCGACAGTGGATAGATACATAGAAAACAAGGTGAGCCCGCGGACCCAAACGCAAAAAGAAGCGCGCAACCCAGGAAAAATACACATTAGCAGGCCAAAACGAAGCATCAGCCCCCTCCAGGCTTCGTGGCAACCATGATATTTCCAGCATCGCGGTTCTGGCGCGCATCCGTCCACCCCCGTCTGCCATATACACCCCCGTCCACCCCTTGGTCAGTTTTGAAAGCCCTCCAAAACGGTCATAACACGATTGCAACATGGCTTCTTGCAACTTGGGCTGCCTTCGGCATACATTGCACGCATTCTGGACGCCCAAGACCGTCATATAGGCCGCGCCAAACAGTTCCACTCGCGCAATAACGTTCTTCCGCGAGGCATGGAGTAGCATTAGCCCCCCCATGCTTCGTTCTACTTAGCATCCACCTTCCTTCCACAGCCCCGTCCACGCCCGTCCACCCTCCCATCTCGATCCATATAGCCCCGTCCACACCCATCTTCCGTCCACGAAAATGCTTGCCTCGTCTCGCTCTGCCCCCCCACTAACGACTAAACTAAACGAGAACCCAAGCATCGGAGATTCTTTTGGGAAAAGCGCGCGCATGTGTACTGCTGTGCCAGCGCTACAGTGCATCACACGCGGTATAATGCTTTCGGGTCATTCGTCGTCTAGTGTTTTAATTTTTTGGCGTAGATTTCCGGTGGCGTGCATCGTTGGCATGATCAGGGCGTCGATATGGCGGAGATATCCCAGGAGGAGAGGATTTGTCTTTTGTTTTTCTCGAACAAACCTTTGCAGGCTTCGATCTTAAGAATTTACACCGGCATAGACCCTAGAGCCTAGATAGAAATATCGTTGCAGTAAGAAGAAAACAAGACGGTTCCCTCTTTAGTCGGGTTGGAGGTTGGATGTATTATATATATATAAAGTGGCTGTTTTCAATCTGCAGCTAGTCTCCAACAACATTGCAACATGGCTTCTGACAACCGTTCCAGGAAGCATGGAGCAGCATCAGCCCCCTCCATGGTTTGTTCCAACCATCCAATTTCATGCATTGCGCTTTTGGCACGCAACAATCCTGCCGTGTCGGCCCTGACTTGACTGTCTGGCGCATGACTGTCTGGCGCATGCATTGTGCGCATTTTGGACACCCAAGACCAGCCCCGCAACACAGCTCCACTCACCTCCCAACGTGCTTCCGCGAAGCATGGAGCAGCACTACCCCCACCCATGCTTCGTTCTACTTGTGCACTGACCCGGAGCAGCCTGCAATGATGCTTGTGGTGCAACCATGTCCTCGTAACTAGCATATCAGCCGCGCAAGCATCCACACCAGCCCCCTCCACACCCATGCACCTCCCGTCTCGCTCCCCTCCATCTTCCCTCCCCACAGCCCGTCCGCCTCCGGGATAAAAATTGATTCCTATCAAAAAGAAAATTGACTCCTATCAAAAAGACCAGGCGACGGTTGGCCCGAGAGCGAGACATGTAATTGTCCAGTACTGTCGAAAAGATGTATAGAACGAGAGAAAGAGAGGGTGGATGTGAAGGAGTGACAGTGTGGATGTGCAGGTGCGATATAGATCTGTAGATGTATGGAGGTGGAGAGCTAGATCTGTGGATGTGAGCTTGCGAAGATGTAAATGCACAGAGACGAGAGAAAAGATATGTAGAAAGAAAGAAACAAAGAAAGAAAGAAAGAAAGAAAGAAGGACAGGACAGATGTGAAGGAGCGACAGTGTGGATGTACAGGTGTGATAGATGTGCAGATGTGTGGGTGTGGTGAGGTGGAGAGGTAGATCTGCGGATGTGAGCGTGTGAAGATGTAAATGTAGAGAGGTGAGGGGGTGTAGACGTAGATGCGTCGATGCAACGGCAGCGCAACGTCAACCTTAGTTGTGCAAGTACAACGCTGAAGAGGTTCAAATAGAACTGAAGAACGTACATTTCACACTGAAGTTTCCACGAACAGGGCGACCTGAGAGTAAACGACGTCACGATCATGACAAGCGACTCGTGTATTCCAAGCGAACATCGTTTGTCATGAAGGTGAAGTACACACATACTAACGTCACGATGACTCTTTTGTGGCAGCCACATATGAGTAAGCAAAGTAGCTAAAATTTGTCAACCTCTCAAGAGAGCCGGGTGGTCGGGAGACATGACTCAGCTGCAGGGGCGCCAGAGCAGCCGAGAGAGATGACTCAGCCGCGAGAGATGACTCATCCGCGTACTAAAGTTGCACTACAAAGTCGCCAGTTCTCAGCATCCATCTCCACAGCTTGCTCTGCGTACTAGAGTTGTACTACAAAGTCGCCAGTTCTCATCTTCTAGATACTCCGCGTACTAAAGTTGTACTAGAAAGTCGCCAGTTCTCATCTTCCAGCTCCCCAGATACTCCGCGTGCTAAAGTTGTACTACAAAGTCGCCAGTTCTCATCTTCCAGCTCCCCAGATACTCCGCGTACTCAAGTTGTCTTAGAAAGTCGCGAGTTCTCATCTTCCAGCTCCCCAGATACTCCGCGTACTAAAGTTGTACTACAAAGTCGCCAGTTCTCAGCTTCCAGCTCCACAGATTGCTCCGCGTACTAAAGTTGTACTAGAAAGTCGCCAGTTCTCATCTTCC